GTCAGTTCTTCAGATAGAGAATTGGGTGTCTGAAGAACAGAGGAAGATAGTTGATACTATGGCAAAGGTGGGTCTACTGTTGTCTGGTTTGATTGAAGATGCGACTGGTGATTCGGGTTTGGGTTGCAGTAGGATAGAGTTGAAGTCTCATGCTTTTAGCCTCAATTCGATGTTGAAGGAGGTTGCAAGCGTTGGGAAGTTAATGTGTGATATCAGAGGCCTGAATTTTGAAATTCAGGTTTGCGGGAAGGTGTCAGGACAGGTGATTGGGGATGAAATGAGGATCATTCAGGCCATTTTATTGATGGTTGTTAAGATTTTGGGTTTTCAAGAATGTGGCACTGTTTTTGTATCTGTAGTTGTAGAAGATGGTTCTCAGGAGTGGAAGCAATATGTATGCAAGGGATTGGTTCTCTTGAAATTTGAAATCCGTGGAGTTTACTCGGGAAAAAACTACCCGAGTTTGTTGCAAATGCGAAAGAATTTCGAGAACAACAGATATGAAGACAGAAATCCTTGGAATGGTTTCAGCGTTTGTGAAAAAATGGCCAAGGTGAGCACTGGCTGCTTTGTCTCTGCATAGGTAAATTTGTGTGTTAATTATAGAGATTTTAAACTATGGATAAATATCAAACTTTGGTTTTTACATGTATCTGATATGAATGTATTGTTGCATTCTAGTGTTTATTGTATATAGATACATATACAGGATTAACTTGATTCAGTGTCTATGGAGGCTCGGAAAATTTAGATGTCTATGTTATCGAAATCTGGTGTTGTAAGCTTACTATTGTTGAACTTTTGGTTTGTGCATATGCAGCTCATGCATGGGAGTGCATCAATTGGCCACAACTCAAAAGACCTAAGTAGAACCTTGAAATTGACAATCAGATTACCCATTCGACATTCACATGGAGGTCTTGTTCAACCGAGGCTTATGGACCCTGAGACTGTGCGGTGCCTTTTGAAAGGAATGAAAACAAGCCTTGCAGATAGTGATGGTTTCAACCAATATGCTACCAGGAAGCATTTAGAAAACATGGGATGTCATCTAACAACTGTGTCGTCTTGGGGCCAATGCTTGGAAACGCTTCGTTCAAGCAAGAACTACTACCATCTACTACTAATAGACCTAGACATTTTTGAGGAAGAGGGTAGTGAAGTGATTGCTCAGATAAGAAAATTAAGATTGGAAAGCTGCCTTCGAATAGTTGTGTTGACATCAAGGTCTGACAGTGATATCTGGGATAGGTGTGTTCAGTATGGATTTCATGGTGTTATTCGCAAGCCTATTGTTTTGCAAGAGATGGAAGATGAGTTGCAAAGGATTTTTCACCAAACAAGGGTACACTCTCCTCCTATACAAAACAACCGGAATGACTAAACGTTTTAACTTTCTGTTTACCCCTATAGAGACGGTGGTTCCTTCGCTTAACATCCTCGTATATCAGATAACAATGGAAAGAGAGATAGAAAAAGAACCAGTGTTTGACTTAGAAAATTCAAACCTACCATTTAGTTTTTGTCCCCGTCCTTCAGGTACATGGAATGTGGAGGTTCAATGTTGCATTATCTAAGTGAATTCCTAGATTGATTTGTATTTTCTTTGTGGTTCAATTAATCTCTATACCCATTTACTTCTAATTGGTTTGAGAGGATTATTATATCGCGTGGGAAATATGTTCTAATTTGCTTTTACTTGGTCAAGCAAATCTTGATTACACTTGTGCGTAAAACCAACCCCTCCCCCCCAATATATATATATATATATATGTATATATACTAGTTTGCACATGCCTGTGCAAGGCACGGGCTGTTATTACAATATATTTCAATTTTGTATTTTGATAATTTTTTAGAAATTAAAATATTATTCTATGCAATTAAATAGAATAAATCATTATATATAAAATAGAATTATGTAGTATGATATGTATTATTTTTTAATTTGTTATACAACTAATGATGTCAACTCCAATTTTATTACCATATCATTTTGGATGAATTTATGAGTTTTTAACATTTCTTCCGAATTTATTAAAAAAAAAATTATGGTATATAACTTTTCTCAACAGATAAATATAAAACAAATGCTAAGATAATTCTCCTATCTAAAACAAACACTACAAAGATAGTTCACTGAACTAATAAAGAAGTAAAAGAAAATACATATATATACAAATAAATAATTTTATTAATACATAAATCATACTCATATAACGAATGACTAATTTTATTAATAAGCAAATCATTAAGTAAATTAACAATTTGTAATGATATGAAAAATGTTTTTTAGTTAATCATTTTGTTAATAAATAAATCATTAAGTCAATTAATAGTTTTTAATGATATGAGAAATATTTTTCAGTAAATAATTTTGATAATTTATTATTGCATAGGAGAATTTTTTTTTTTCGCTAAGTATTGTGTTAATTGAAAATTTATAACAAATGGTAGTTGTAATTGCTAGTATTATAGGACTCATTCTTATTTTAAACATACCTTATGGGTGTATTTATAATTTGTTAAAAAATAAAAGATTTATGTTTCATAATTAACCAAGATTTTTTGCGTAATTAAGAAAAAACTTGTTTCATGATTGATCAAGAATATTCACATAACTACGAAAAATCTATTGCATAATTGACCAAGAATGTTTGCGTAATTATGAAAAAAATTTCACTCAACATATAGGCCACTATTAGTAAATTATTCAAAATGAAATGGTAAAATCGAAAAGAAAAGACAAATCTCAAGCAACTAAGTGCACGGGCTATTATTGCAGTATGTTTAAATGTTGTATTTTGATAATTTTCTTGATCAATCACAAAACAAATCATTAAAAAAAAAAAATATTGTCGACATGGCTAAGTCTTCATTTGGCAAGTGAGTTGGGTTTAAGTTGAAATTAAAAAAGTACAAAAAAATAAAATAGATTAAATAAGCCAAGAATACAAAATATCATATTCAAAAATTATCGAAATACAAACAATTTACCTTATACTAACAAGATTTGTGTTATTTTTCAATTTGTTAAATATTCAATCATGCCAGAGTTAAAAGCAAAATCATTCATGCAAAAATTTATAATTTTAATTATTAAAATTAAACAAAATTATCATACATAGCACCCTTAAAGTTAATGGCCGTTGGGCATTTACCATTCTTTCAGAATATTTGTAAATCTAAGGGGCAAAACGACCATTCTTTCAGAATATTTGTAAATCTAAGGGGCAAAACGACCATTCTTTCCGAATATTTATAAATCTAAGGGGCAAAATAGGGGGGAAAAAAGACAAGCCAACTAGGTTCTTATGGATTTGTTTGGTAAGTGAGTTAGTTTTTCGATTTTTTAATCTTTTTTAATTATTTTAATTTAGAGTTAAAAATTCTTGTTTAGAAAGAGTTTTTAATTTTTTTATAAAATAAAGAATGTAATGATTATGAGTTAGATGCAATATTTTGTCTTATTAGATTAAAAAACTTATTTTATTTTTTATAACTAAAATAGTAATAAAAAATTAAAAAAAAAAAAAAAAAATCCAAACTTGACTTCCCAAACAATATATAGATATATGAGATTTATTGGATGACAAATATGGGGTTGTTTGGGATATCTTAAATAAGTATACTTTTTGTCTTTTTGGATTAAAAAGTTGAGGGAAAAAATATGGATGTTTGAGTTAATTTTTTGACTTTTTATAAAAAAATGTGTATTAAAAAATTACATAAAGAAGTGTGCAGGAGAAGATTAGAGATGTGTGGGCTACAGCTGTACAAGCTGCACAGCCAGAATGGGAGTAAAAAATTATTGGCTACTTTTCGAACATTGCACTGGATGATTTTGTTCGGCCCGTGGGGGTCATCACGGGTCCCATTTTGATAATCTGAACCGTTCAATGTGTAGAACTCGTCGAGTACTATATGCTTATAAAAAATCACATTGATCGGATATCGATAGTTATCTGAATAGATTTGTTTTTTTTTTCAATCGTTAATTATAACACCATCCATTTTTTATACAAAACTGATTTGATTATGTAGTTATCGATATCCGATTAATGTAATTTTTTACAGACATATAGTACTCAACTAATTTTACACATTGAACGGTTCAGATTATCAAAACGGGACCCGTGATGGGCCCCCACAAGCCGAACAACAGTGTGTGAAAATTACACTCAAACTGTGTAATTTTTGTTAACAAACGCAGCACAACAGCTGAACATGCATATATCAAAGTTGTACTTTTGTGTAGAAAATTAATTTTTTAATTTTTTTTGGTGAATAGTAATAATTTTTTAACTTTTTGAAAAGATGTCAAACTTGGCCTAATAAATTATTAACTATTTTACTAACTATTCGCATGTTTGGATGTTGCGAGTAGTTAGTAAAATTGCTAGTAATTATTGAATAATATTAAAAAAATTTAAGAGTTTTATTACAAAAATTATTAAATATTTCATATGGGTGTGGAATAGTGTGATTCTCATATGAATTTCACATTCACGTGAGATATTTAATAAAAATTTTGATAAAATTTTTGAGATGTCTATTTTTTTTTTATACTTATTTAGTTTGTACAAATTATTATTTGCCATGTCATCCCAAGATGACCGTTGAGCTGATGCCACGTGGTAGAGGATATTCTTTGCGTTGGGCTGCAAACAAACTAATCGGCTCACATGGAAATGCAAAAGTGTATAGGATTCTCTGATGATAAAAAAGTGTCAACTCTCTTTCTTCTTTTCATGATTCTCTGTAACGTTTCGTCAATCAATGAAGAGAGCCGCTGTAACTTTTGACACTTAATGCTTCTAAACAGTACGTACCTTAAAAAAATCCCCCATAATAGGTGATCAGATAAGTATTAATTTTTGAATAATGCTGTATGAGAGGGTAATTTTTGGTAAAAATTAAGCCGAGTTGCGAGATTGACTTTATGGCCCAAAGTACGAAGGACTGGTTAAATAGGTCCAATAGAAATGTAAAAGTTCCTCCGGTTCAAGAGTGATAAAGTTACTCCGGTTCAAGAATGATAAAGTTACTCCGGCCCAGAAGACATGTTGAGTTACTTCGGTCCGCGCAACTTGGAGCTAGGCCGGTCTCAGAGATAGACCGGTCATGATGTGTTCTGGGTAGGCCGGTCGGAATGTTGCTACTCGGTAGATCGATCCAAACACATCATTGTTTGTGCATGAGAGAACCGAGATATGGTGCAGCAAGGGGAAGAACCGAACTACTGTTAGTACGGCCTACTCAGTGGCTCAGTATAGCCAGGTCTATCTCGGTCGTATGGCAGTTCGGCCATGGTGAAAACCATCACACTTGGTTTAAGCAGTGGGGGGTGTAAAAGGATAAACATTATCCTTAGGAGTATGAATCCTAGGAGGACTCTGCATGGAGAAGTAGAAGTCCTACTAGGATTGTGCCACTCGAAACCTATAAAAGCTCACAAACATCACCTTGGAGGAGGTAGCACACAATTTAGCTTTCTGAATACACAGAGCTTTGTCTATTTGTCAAGTTTACTGACTTAGGCATCGGAGAGGTTTCCGGCACACACCCTCCGGCTAGCTCACGTTTGTGTTTTCAGGTGATAAAGCGACGTCGTACGGAGGAGCGTGGACTTAGTCAACAGGATTATACGAGGAGAATTATTTCTTCCCCGTACAATTGACGCCGTCTGTGGGAACAACAGACAAGAATAAAAACCTCTTGACTAAGCTTCTCCTTTTCTCAATCAATGGCACATATTGAGGAACTACCGCAGTCCACCGTCGACGGACTAACTCCAGAAGGGGGCGCAAGGCGTGAAGGATTACCTGCTGTCCCTCCCATGGCGGACTTGGAGCCCCAAAGACGTACCTCCAGGAGCAAATGCTAGGGGGAGACGGACTCACAGCCCCCGTCAATCCCATTCTCAAAGTCCCGACAGGCAAAGACAGAGGATTGACCCTCAAGCTCTGGAAGATGGCGTGAAAGAGCAAGATGAATTGATAAAGAAGATGGCGGCGGATATGGAGGCCTTGAAACGCCAGATGAAGAAAAAAGAAGTGGCGACAGGAGAGGGGCGCAAAAACAAGACGCCCCCTCGCTACTCAGAAAATCGTAGTAGGAATACTACACCCTCACAAGGAGAGAGTAGAAGCCTCAGGACAAGCGACGCTCAATCCTGGTCTTCCAGAACTCGTCACTCCAGGTCTGAGAGGACGAGATCTGAGAGATCATACACTGAAGGAAGCACATATTGGCCCTCACATTCGCACCAAACCAGATCTAGACAGACGGAGTTACCCAAGTCATCCGACTTACGAACCGTGCTCGAAGAAAAAGCACGAAGCAAAGAGGATGCCAGGGCGAGGGATCCACATAGAGTTTCTGCCTTACAGCGGTTGGCTCCTCGGACGCATGGAAGCGTCGAGGTTGGAATGCTAATACCGCGCCCAGCCTATGAACCAACGGACAAAGCATTGGCAAGGCTGCAGACTTCGCCGTTTGTTCCAGCGATTGAAAACGCACCCCTACCATCAGGCTTCCTTCAGCCGAAATTCACTACATATGAAGGGAAGACGGACCCCTATTCACACTTTCGCCACTTTCGCCAAGTCATGGCCGTATATAGGCGAAACGAGGCTTTAATGTG